CCTCATCTCTACGATAAATCAAAAAATCAGCCGGGTGTGGTAGCGCATGCCTGTAATTCCAGCTACTTGGAAGGCTGAGGCGGAAGGATTACCAGGCCCAGCAGGTCGAGGCTGCGGTGGCCAGGAGCGACCACTACACTCCAGTCTGGGTGACAGAGTGAGACTCCAACTCAAAAAAAAAATCGGGCCAGTGATAGTGGCTCATACCTGTAATCCCAGCATTTTGGGAGGCCAAAGGGAAAGGATTGCTAGAGTCCAGGAGTTTGAGATCTGACTGGGCAACATAGCAATAACTCGTCTCTACTTATTTTAAGATAAGAAAAGTAACTAGTAATAATAGTTGTCCCTGGGGACAGAAGCTGGGTGACTGAAGGACAGAGGTAAGAAGTGACTTATTTTTCACTGCTCTATTGTACCTTTCTAATGTACCTTCTGAAGGTCTTGTCAGTTTACAAAAAAAAAAAAATTATTACCTGATGGTTAAAGAAATCCAGTTATCTTGGAGCAGACTTTGTTCTGGAAAGTTCTTGAGTATTCTGAAAGTGTGGGTGGTCCTGTCCAGTGACAACAACCTAAAGCTAGTTATTCAGAGCAAAGGGTATCGTTATCAGTTAGGACATGGTAACAAAAACTGCAAGTTAACACAGCCTTAAATACATAAGGCTTTTGGTTTTTGTCTTTCTGACAGAAAGTCCAAGGCAGGCATTCCAAGGCCAGGGTGGCAGTTTACAAGGTTGTCAGGGAGCAACCAGGCCCTACCCAGCTTCCCACCCCACCACGCCTTGGGTGTGGCTCTGTCCTCATTCCTCATGGTCCAAGGTGGCTGCTGGAGCTCCAGGCATTCCAGCCAGGAGAAGGGGAAGAGGCGCTGTCCTTCCCTTTAAGGAAAGTTTCCAAAAGTCACTTGACACTTCTGTTTACATCCCCTCAGCCAGAACTTATGTAGCCAAACCCAGCTCCAGGGAGGTTGGAAAATGTTTGGACTCTGGGTGGCCATGTGCCTAGCTAAAAATAGGGGCCCCTGATAGCAAAGGGGGGGAGGCAGGAAGTGGGGAGCGATTATATCTCTGCCTCTGGTGGATGGATGTGGACCTGTTTT